GTCTACAGTAAGAAAAGAATCATCAAGGACTGCTTTGGAATGTGCATTGCATTGCAACTGTAGCGCTACCAAAACAGTTAAATTTTAAAAGCGCGGTTATAAGATCTAACAGATCTTCTTCTCTTTTTGTGATTTGCATGTGTGTTTTGTTTGTTAACGAAGATCACTCTAGAACTTGATTCTCTGTTTAGTCTCAAGGCTAACTTACATAAATGATTTATTGGCCTCACTTCTTGTTTATGGTAGCGGGAAACAAATTGTTACAGTGTTCAGTGTAACACTGCAGGAGTACTTTTGGTGAAACATTTTTTTAAAAAAAAAGTCATGGGCCAATATGGTAGGTAATAGATCAGTTAGCTAGTATACAGTAAAAGCACTGCAGGTGTAATTACTTGGATTGCGATCAGGTATACACCAAATGCCAAATATGGCAGACCACTTGGTCGGCACCCAGGACAAGTCGCATAAAAGCGAGGCTAGTCCGGCTTTGATGTTTTGTTTTGACAATGCTTCTCCAGGAAAGTCTTGCTTCATCATCGATTTGGTCTGTTTTGTTTTGCCCTCCCTGCATGTTTTTTGTTCCTGAATGCCACCAGAAGGGAGTGAAATCTTCCACAGCAGAAAAGGAGTTTTTTCTTCAGTTTCCCCGTTCACCTCTGAGAGGAAAACAGGCAAAGGAAAGGAGTTCACGATCGCTGAAGGAACTGTTTAAGTTCAGGCTGGAAGATCTCAGGGTCTGTTCCTTTGGGGTGATCTGGATCGGGATTAGTGATCCAAGATCACTTGGATCATGGTGCATCAAAGGAACCGATGAATCCACTCTGGACATGGATTCATCGGTTCCTTTGATGCACCATGATCCAGACAGATCTTGGATCACTGATCCTGATCCAGATCACCCCAAAGGAACGCACCCTTAGGAAATGTGTAAGTGATTGCATTTAGCTCCGAGTCATTGTCATTAATGCTTTCACTGGTTTCAACAACAGTGCAGTTGAAGTCCATTAGCTTGGCTTTTACCTCATAGTATTTGTTGTGTGATTCTGTGCAAGTGGACGCAGATGTAAACAACTTCTTCTTTTGAGACAGAGGTTGTCTTTCAAAAGGCATGTATCTTTACCTTAGGGAAAGTACTGGCCATACAAATCATGCTCAAACACCACTAGACACCACATAAGCTTGTCATTTAAACAATTTTTCTAAGATCTTCTATCCTGAAATGTAGCAAACAAACTTTAGTTCCTGTGGCAATCCTGAACTCCATTCCTTCGTCTCAACAAATTGCATTCATCCACTATTTCCCTCTAGAGGCGAACGGTGGAAGATTTCTATCCCTTCTTGTGGCATTCAGAAACACAGCAACTCGTAGGCACAGCGAAATAACACAGACCAGTTCAACGACGAAGCAAGACTTTTCTGTCAAAACATCAAAGCCCGACTAGCGTCGCTTTCATGCAGCTTGTTCTGGGCGCCGAGCGAGTGGTTTGCCATATTTGAATTCAGTGTATGGGTTTTCCAGATACAGGTGACACTGTCCTTGAAAATTCAAAGTTCAACTAGTGCAAATCTGTGAGGCTCCCAGGGATTTATTAGACTAGAGTCACGGACACATTGCACTGATTTCCTTCTCAATTTTTTTGGACCAGAGGAATTGGAGCCGACATATCATTAAATGCGTAAATTAGCCATTACACAGGTGATTGTTTGGTTATCAGCTTTAATTACTGGCTAATACACATTAGGATTCATTTTATTTAGAATTATTAGTCAGTGTGCCAGTGGTAAAACAAAGTGGAAATTTTACTGATCATATTGCTAGACAAGTCAAATAACTTGCCTCAATAGCAACTTGGAATGCGGGGTGCGGAAATTTTAGCCCTTGTTGGTACTGAAACAAACAAATGACTTTGTGTAAATACCAAAATTACGCCAAAAAAAAAAAAATAAAACATGCATGGTACTATTTGTCTGCTTTGTGTAAATATCAAGGTTAGAAGTGAACTGTAGGTGACTGTCAACATTGCTTTTTTAGCACTTGTGTAGTAATTTTAATAACTGAAATCGAAAGCAATCGATATTTTTTTTAATCTCAAGCAACCTAATAAGCATTCACCAGTTATATGGGTGTATCAAAGAAAAGTAAGTAAGTTAAGTATATAATAGCCTAAACTCATATAAACTCATTCATCTTAATAAAAACAATGCTACAGCTCTGTAGTGGTGGGTAGTTTAATTCATTATCAACATACAACAAAACTTATAACTTTATTGATCAATTGCCAGGGAAAAGAAAATGAGTTGCAGCTCAAAGTGCTAAAATGTGTACCAGTTGATTTTGAATTGTTGTAGAAAAATAAATACATGTACATGCATTTATTTAAACATTTTTAACAACACAGTAAATGGTTTGAACCCAGGAGTATCAGTAGTTCGTATTGTGTGATCGTCCGGGTGAGTGTAGTTCTGAAAAGAACTGTTGTTGGTGACTGACGTTTCGACAACCTGAGCAGAAGTCATCTTCAGAGTCAAGTGAAGATTGTTTGTCAGTCGATGATCTTATAAGTCTGGTCCGTAGAACGTGATTGGTCAGTATAGCCATGATGGTATTGGCTGAGAGACTCGTGTAAAGTTTGTCATCAGTCATTGGTGGGTTTC